TTTCAGCAGAGCTTCTGGAAAGAGAAATACTAGGAAGATGGAAAAGGCAATCTACTTCTGAAAAAAAAAATAAAAAAAAATAGCCACTGAATATTTTATGAAGAGCTGTAGATCGAGTTCTAACAAAACAGAGAGTAAAAAAAAAAAAAAGAAAATGAGCCTTCCCGTCTCTGTAAGTCTATAAACAGTAAATGGTTCTGAATTCCAAAGCATACTGACAGAAGGTTTGGGCACAAACTATTCTCAATAGAAGAATATCAAAGCAGGAATACATTGGTTTTTATTTTCAATATGTCTAAGAGGCCTACTCTTATGTATGGTGGCTTTCCACTTACTTTATCATGGCATGGAGTGAAAACTCTTCTCTTTAACAACTCCACGCAATCACTGCAATCATGCTCAGTACAATTCCTAGCAGGTCTTCTTGTTGTGACTTTAAAAACTTTCTCAATTTCCCAGCTCTCAATAAATAATTCTATGTCTTCCATATTGGTAATAACTGTGCCATTTTGCATCCTTAGATCATCATCTGGATCATCATTGCAGATTCCTAGGAAGAATATGTGCCATTTAGATGGGGAAAAAAAAAAAAATCTCACTTAAGCATGGACAACTGAACAAAACCATCTTAATAACTGATTTTAAAGCAATGAATTACTTAATCAATTGATTTGTCCTTTGGCTTTAACATTGATAGTATTTTTAATTATGTGGCTGATTTTTAGATCGAGTTCTAACAAAACAGAGAGTAAAAAAAAAAGAAAATGAGCCTTCCTTTCTCTGTAAATAGTACTTCCTGTACTGAAAATAGTACAGAACCCCCTTAGCCAGATGAGAAAGAATCTATGATCTCAAAAGTCAAAATATTTTAAAAAGATCATGAAGAGGAATAAGGGGGAGTTTGATTCTGCTCTACAGTTTTCCACTATTACTACCATCTCCAATTAACACTTAGTTCTTAATCATGAAGTTGCACAGACATTTGGTGATTGCCTTCCAGGTATCCATTGCCCAGGAAACCTTTCCTGAAAACATTAAATTTTTCTATTCAGGAACTATCCTTTCCTCATCATGTCCAGCACATGACACTCATGAGACAGAAGGGCCCTGACTGGCATAAAGGTAATCCTTACTCACTTGGTTTGGCAACTGTTAACAGGTAATCCAGGCATAAACCTATTGGATCATGGCAATCATTTAGACACAGGGCTTCTTTCAGCATTAGGACAACCACTGTCAAGTTCAGAACTTAAACTGGGAATTCTAGGGCACAGGCAATCTCCCTTCCTTAGATGACATGGCCTGTTGATGGCTATAATGCCTTTACCTGCTACAGCCTCTAGTTCCCTTTTAAGGCTAGACTGAAGATGGAGTTCACTCTTTATCCAGTGGTGTGCAGAGCTAAAGGAAGCACAGAGAAATGGACCCAGAACTTTGGTCATATCATACCCAAATCCTATCCTATGTAAAAACTTAATTTTTTAAAAAAATTTCCAAGATACTCAGTTGTAAAAGATATAAATTAAACTTTTCTTTCAATTATTACATGTTAATCCTCCAGGAGACATATCAGGATAAATAAAAGTTGCTGCTGCTGTATTTGCCACACGCCTATATACAGGGAATTATGAGCTCTGGTGGCATAGTGGGTAAGGCATTTGGCTTCTAACCAGAAGGTTGTGGTTCAAACCCATCAGCTGCTCCACAGGAGGAAGATCAGGCAGTCTACTTCCATAAAGATTTATAGCCTTGGAAACCCAATGAGGGTCACTATGAGTTGAAATGAACTTAATGGCAATGGGTTGGTTTTTGGCTTTTTATATACAAAGGATTAAGTGTAATCTAACAAAAACAATTCAAGTTAAGTGAACCATGGTGTAAAAAAAAAAAAAAAA